AGCTCATAGAGCAGTGATTAATGCAGCTTGGTGGGCATCTAACAAGTGAACCTAGGTAGTATCTTATTTAAGGATTACAGGACTTGTCTTTGGACTTGGACCTAACTCATTGCACTTCTGCCACCAGTAAATGAAAGAAAATTATATCCATTATCTTCAAGAAGAGGTAACAGACAAGTTTATTAGACTTAGCATAAATCCACTGAATCACTGAATTTCTATTAATATTTTTTTAAAGAATTGTTTACTATCCTTCCTGCAAAGAAATTTGTTCATGGAAAACATGCAGTACACACAGTGGTCATTGCTAGACTGACAGGGTGGGGATTAATTATTGGCTTTTCTCTCAACAGGTGCATGATATTTGCCACATTACTTCAACTCTTGGTTTTCTTTACCTGTAAAGAGGGGACAATAGTAATTCCCATTACTACTTTGTTGGGTTGCTTTGAGAACTATACGAAGTTCTTTAACACAACGACCTGGCACCCATTAACACTAAAATTCCAAAAATGTCTACTCACTTTTTCAGCAAAGCATACTTTTCTTTTTTCTGCTCCAGGGTGGCACATGGGTGGGATGGAGGGAGACAGAGTGGCAGAAAAGGTACAAGGGAATCGAGAGAAGGAAATAAAACCATAGTAAGGAATAGAGAGAGTCTAAGAACTCTTCGGTATGTGAGAGAGCCAGATTCCAGGCCCGGCCAGTCCATTTCATGCACAGCCACTGTGTCTCTGTCAGTGAAGGCTTGCAGGTTGCTATGAGCTGAAGAAATTTCTGTGGAGCTTTCAGACCAACACAGACTAGGAAGAAAGACCTACCAACCTACTTTTGAAAATCAGTGACCCTGTGGCTGAATCCCACCAGCTGCTCCTTGGAAACCCTGTACAGGGTGGTTATGATTTGGAACCCACTCAATGGCACTAACATGGATCACACAGTCCTGACCACAACTGCTCAGTGGGATGGTACAGGACAGGACAGGACAGCATTTCATCCTGAGAGCAGGTCACAGCAAAAGATCTAGGATATGAGGGATTCATCATGCTTCGGGTTGAAAGATGAGCTAAGGTCCGTAGCATGATCTGCTCTCCAGGTGGAAAAGATTGGCTTGTTTTATTAGCAGGCAGGGCTGAAGCACCTCCTTCCTTGATGTCACTCGAGGCCGCTGCTACTCAACGGTGGCCTGCAAGTTCTGTTATTGGGCCTTGGGGACAAGGTAAGTACAGAAATCGAGTCTCAGGATTTAGAAACTTTAATTGCAACTTGACAAACTATCTTTAAATTTCATTTTTGTACACTTTAATTTAAAGAGCTCTGGTAGCATAGTGGTTACGAGTCACGCTGTTAACCTCAAGGTCAGTAGTTCAAAACTACCAGCTGTCCCGAGGGAGAAAGATGAGGCTTTCTGTTCCTGTGAAGATTTATAGCCTCGGAAACCTTAATCAGGGTTACTATAAGTCGGAACCAACTCTACACCACGACCACAATCATGTTTTAATTTAGTTTTTCTAGTAATTCACTGATTTTACTTTACAAAACTATCAGTCCATGATGGATTACAATCTTTTTTTAAAAATGGTCTTTTACCACTGAGTTTGGTGATCACTGCTCTAGATAAATAATCTCAAATTTTCTACTGTATAAAAGAAAAGCAACAGTCTTGATTCTAATAGCTCTTAAAAGACTGAGAGTAGGAAAATCTTAAGTCTGACTCTTTGGTCCTAAGAACAGGCCAAACTAATAGTTAAAAGACAATTCTGGAAACTTTATTACTTATGACATTGAAGTTTTTCTGGGTACATGGAAGAATTTTTAAGAATTTTCTCAAATATAGAAAATATGCATATAAATATCAAGGAAGATAAGGCAGTTTTTAAAATGCACCTTGTAAAATAGATTTCTTTATAAGGTAAATTGATATGTATCTTGTTTTGTGAAGCAAATGGCCAGGTGAAAGTAAAATTGCAAAACTCTATTTGTAATACAATGATGTTTTGTTCTGTTTTTTAAAATTACTATATGCCTAGAAAAAGATCTGAATAGAAATTAAGAATTTGTTGCTTTGGAGGATATCAGACTTACAGGCTTTCATTTAAGTTTTTATGTTATACGTTTGTTTTGTGTTTGAATTAGAGTTTTTACCATCACTTTTTTCACACAAATTATATGGCATACTATTACTTTTTGTAAGCATGCTATCAGAGGGGTTATAAAATAGACTTTATGATGTGTTGGCTGGTAAACAGATGTAGAATACATGAATTATTTGAGTATAAATATGGTATATGATCTTTTGTAAAAAAAAAAAAAAGTTTATATGTTGAAATTGTATCTCTGCCACTTTTTGGATTTTAATAAGCCTACCAATTATGTTAAGGAGCTCTGGTAGCGTAGTGGTTATGAATCAGGCTGTGAACCTTAAGGTCGGCAGTTTGAAACTACCAGCTGTTCCACAAGAGAAAGATGAGGCTTTCTGTTCCCGTAAAGATTTACAGCCTCGCAAACCCTATACAGGATCGCTGTGAGTCGGAACTGATGCCACAGCACATAACAACAACAACCATCACCAATTATGTTGCTGAGAGACTCTTTTAAAGTATGGAGAGGAAACAAAACAACCAAATCACAAATGAGTATGTTCATTCATTGTGAAGAACGTAACCAATGCCAATGAACAAGTAGCATAGAAATTGTAGAATGGGAACCTACACTGCTGTGTAAACGTTCACCAAAAACATATTTGATAATTATAGAAATAGAACAATATAAAGAAGGAAAGAAATATCTAGTAGGTCCTGCTTCTATTTCCTCTTTGAGAATCAAATTCTATTCATCCTGCAAATCTGAGCATACCACTTCTTGGAACAGGAAAATATTATTTTCATGCATGTTACCTGCACTGAAATGTTAATGCTAATGTCTCCCTACATTTCATTTCCCATCCCCTACTCCCCATTGTGCAGGATATAAAAAGCTGTCAGGTGAAATATTTTCCTGAATTTAAAGACCGCATGTGACAGTCAACACAACTACTACGGATTATGTGTTACAAGCAAAAATTCCCAAGGTTAGGAAGTCTAAAAACTTGCATCAATCATCCGCAGTGAGATAATAACCTACCGTATTTCATCAATTCCAAGACAACTTTATTGTAAGACACAGCATTATTTCATGTATCACTAAGGAAGTAAAAAACAAAACAAAGCCAATTCAATTAAGACACACCATCAATCAAAAGATAGATCCCATTTTCAGAGGCATAATAGGAAAAAATGTGCATCTTGGAATCAATAAAATATGGTAATAGTGTAACTAAAAATATGAAGTCTTGTCCAACAGATTATTTGAAACAATGCATTTGAAAGCTGCTTTGCACAAACTCTGAACGTAGGTGGAAGAATACATAAACATTTTCAGTAGCACACTTACTTTATTGACCTATGTAGAAAAATAGGTCGTAAAAAGTCAGAATAGTAAAAGAATATGCAAAAGGGTATTTTTTTTTTCTAGAAGTCTATACAAATATGCAAAAGGAATAATTTATTTTTTTGTGCATGTCATTTCCCCCTCCCCCAATTTCCCCCCACCCCCAAACTTCATTTCTAATGATACAAATGACTAAGGACCAATTTAACAAATCATCTTTATGTATATATTACATGCTTTGGAATATAGATAGAAAATATTCCAAAAATGTTGTTCAGAAACATTTCTATTCACAACATGAACAAGAAATCTGTATAAAAGTTGGGAGAAATGAGCACCAGTTAATGGAATTCTGAAGCAGAGTAAAGATGGTTTTAAAAAAAAAAAGAAAAAAAAAGGATCAATTTGGAATATGGAAATTATTTCTTTTTTTGTTTTTAAATCCTACAGTAAAGCATAGCTAATTCTTTCCTCCAAAGAAAGTATGAGGTAGTTTTAGCCTCATAATCAAGTCTACTGCAGCTTGCAGTATATATATTTTTATGACTAATCTTATTTTTGTCATTTGGTGACTTAGAACCACCTGTGGAACCCAGACAATATATTTATTTTCTAATCTTCACCATTTTAAGGCACAAAATTCATCTAAAATAATGTAGTTTTGTTGTTTTGGGGTTTCTTTCTGTATCACAATTAAAACACCTTGTCAAAGTCATGATTATAAAAAATTTTCCATATCAAGCCTGCCATTTCAAATCACAACCAAGTGGAAGAGTTACCAGCTTGAATAGTAACAGTTCAGTATGCAACCAGTGTGGAAAAAACAAAGGCGCGCCATGACACTGTACCTAGAAAATTCTCCAAGCAGGGTTTGTCACTCTTCAGCGGGACTGCTTCATTTCCCCCAATCTGCTACCACAAAAGTTACTGTATAAGAGGCTACAGCAAATAAGTCTTTTCAGAACCCATTTTATGATGCTTAAGAAAAACATCACTCTTTATAATATCCTAAAAACATTTGTACTCGTTCAGAACTTCATGAAAATCCATCCTGTCTCTTCAAGTAATTTTCCAATACTGTCAAAATTGTCCATGTCTGTGTAGAAAAAGCATGATTCCTTAGTTCTGCTCACAAATCCACACAATGTATTTGTGAGCAATGACCAAGGAACATCTAGTTTCCTTCCTCTTAGCATTCTGAATTGTGCTCTGAAATTTCCCCCTTTCTTTCTTTCCTGCTGGACACCCCCACTGCACTTTTCACAGTTTTGAGGTTTGACTTCAGCAACTTTTATTCCCTTCAAAAGTGCTTGTGATTGATGAAGATTTCAAGCTGAGTCCTGTCTTGGCTTCAAGATTGGTCAGACCTTGCTCTGTCCCGTTAGTGCCTACAGTGTAGACGGTAAGTCTTCTTTAGAGGCTTTCTACTGCTTCGTGTGGAACTCACTTCCAGGGCAATTTAAGACTTCTCGTCAACCTTTGATGACAACAATCTTCTGGGAAGATGAACACATTTTGCAAGGCACACTAGTGTGAGAACGCAGTGCTCGGTCAATACATCCCACTGCAGTTCAGACTAATGTTCCAGGCTTTGAATCTTCATGCCAAAAGAGCCTCTGCTCACTATCTTCCAGACTGTCCCCCAGTCGGTTCCCATCTGTACTGTCCAGTTGACTGGCCTCTGTGTACTGTCTGTTAAAGCAAACCAGAAAAGTTACTCTTGTGGTCATTTTTGTTACCCATGCACAAGACTATTACATTCAAAGATGTTAGTAGGAAGCGCTGTTAAGTAAAATTATCCAGAACCTGGAAATAAGGCAAAAAGGAGATTTTGTCTTTTCAATGCCACATAACAGTATTATCTAACACATTCATGCAATGACTATTTCATTCTCTAGGGAGATAAACCTTTGTTTACTATTTGCCAATGATTAGAATCCAGAATGTGTTCATTTGTAAATTTTGTGTGTGTGTGAAAAACTCAAATAACTTCTGTCTGACAGAAAAACCTTCTAGTTTATAGTTTTATTGTCCCATAGGACATAACCGGTTTCCTGTCTAAGTTAGTCATCTTATTCCAGCATTCTCTCTTTGAGTGTGTTGAGTTCAGTTTTGTCAAGTCTTCTGGAACCAACATCACCATTCGGGTAGTTCCCTCAATAAGGGATTAAAGAATTCTTTGACACAAGCCCATTTTCTATTTGTGTGGATCATATTTTTAAGTGTTTAAAAAGATTACGTTGGTGGCATATTTAAAGTATTCTTCAAATTAAGGAACTATATTAGATATTTGCCTCAAGGTCAAAAGAATACTTTCGAGGGGAACAGGGATACCTTGGGGTATATATTTTACATCTCTAGGGTGTATGAGTAAAGTGTAAACTAGAAATGACTGAACCAACTGCATCACATCTAAACACTGTAGGCAAATTTAGATTGTGCATCCACAAGGGAGCATCTTATACAAGCCATTCCAATAAGCAAAACACTAAATTAAACAGATTAGGATGTTAGTAGATTTTCTGAAATTTTGATATTTCCGTATCTTTTAGTAAGGATGATAAAAGGTCTTCCAAAGACGAGGAGGAAAGAAAATACCATATCAATCTGGGTATTGAGTATTTTTGTCTAACATAGAAACAAAGTCAGAGTTCGTAACTTCAACACATCAACCAGAGCAAGCCAAACTCCTCCTATGTAAGAAGCAACACACACGTTTGAATGACAGTACTTACTACTGCTGGCTACACTTAGCACAAGAGAATTTAAAACTGATCTCATTTCTGCAGACACAACCGTTTTCCGGGACAGAATCCCTGGGTTTTGCCTAGTGGTAGATAGAGTTACACAAGGAAGAGGAAGGGAAATGGAAAATGGGACATGAGAGAAAACTTTTAAAACATTTAAAAACACAATTTGTAGCATTTGAGCCAAGAATGTGACTGTCTTATATACTAGGTAAGGAGCCCCAATGACGAAGCCTTGGTAGCGTAGTGGGTTACACCTTGGGCTGCTAACTGCAAGGTTACAAGTTCGATTCTATCATTCACACCGGGGGAGAAAGATGAGGCTTTCTGCTCCCATTCAGATTTATGCCTTGGGGACCCTGTACAGGGTCACTAAGAGTCAGATCCAACTTGCCAGCACACCACCATCACCAAGGAGCTCTGGTGGAGTTGTAGGATAAGCACGACACTAACCACAAGATTGGCAGTACGGACACCCTAGTTTTCTGCTCCCATAGAGACATAAAAGCTTGGAAACCCTATACAGGGTCTCCATCAGTTGGGACTGACTCAATTGCAGTGAAGCTTTGTTTTGGTGTATTCTAGGGAGCTTAAGAGACTACAACATTTTTAGCTTGGGAAAATCTATGCTACTGACAGCTACACCAAATTAGGTGAAGAAAATTTTTGGTAAATACTTATAAGTTTCTTTAATATTTAAGCAAGTCTTGGTGTGGTACTGTAAGATAAGCATTGGACAGGTTAACCATACAGTCAGCAGTTCAAACCCACCAGCCGGGGTTGCTATGAGTTAGAATAGACTTGATAACACTTAGTAACAACAACATCATAGCATTTCAGTTAAGTACTCGGATACTCTACGGAAATGGCAATCTAGATAATACTTCATTTACGAAGAAAACAACACAAAACACTGATATGTGGCTAAGCATCTAAAATCCAAGACAAGCTCTGACATCCAATTACACTTTCACTTTAGAAATCTTACTTTTATAAAAAATTTACTTTTGTTTTTCTACAGCAAATTTCTGAAGCTTTGTGAATGATTTATTATATTTGTCACGCTAGCAGGACAAGTCAAATCGATGAGATTATTTAATAATACGGAAAATATTTTTAAAAAATGGAAATAAGTGGTCTTATCATGTGTGGTGCTGTGGACTAATGCGTCAGACTGCAAAGTCGTTTGAGCTGCAAGGTCGGTGGTTCAAGCTCACCAGCTGCTCCTTGGAAACCCTACATAGGGTCGCTGTGAGTCAGAATCGCCTCGACGGCATTTAACAATAACAACAATAACCGTGGTTAGGAAGGTAAACTGGCAAATCTTTCTGAAAAGCAAGATCTTAAAAAATACATTTTTCAATTTCAATTAATTCATTAACTCTATTTACTGGAAAAGACCCTATGGAAATAATCTGGAATTCTGACAAGTATTTTGTACAAAGATGTTAATAGAAACAAACAAACAAAAAAAGAGGAAACCTTAAAAACACCCAGATATCCTAAAAATGGGTAAACCTGTTAGACTCAACTCAAAGGCACTGGGTTGGGTTGGGTTGGGTTGGGTTGGGTTGGGTTTGGGTTAAGCAAATATAGTATATTTAATGAGTGGACTATCATATCGGTTATATAAAAATGCTAGTCAGTTTTTCAGGAACATGGGAACAAATTTCTGGCATATATAATGGTGAGTAAAACTCTCCACTGTAGAATTTCATATAAACATAACAAGATGCAAAATTACAGATGGCAGTCTCATTATGGTCGTGTTAAAAATGGATACAGAAAATGGAAGGGAGGTGCCAAAATCTTCATAGCGGATATCTTGGATGGTAGAATTATGGGTAAGTTGTTTCCTACTTAATCAGTGCAATATTTTCCAAAATTTCCACAATGAGCTCATAAAAAGAACATACACACACACAATAGGGATCTTTAAATAGCTTCTAATTTCCTGTACATTTTGCCCCTTCTAACATCAGACTCTCCTATGAAGCCATTTTGGATTGAGTGAAGCAGCTGGGTACACTCCAGCAAAAGAGAGTTTCTTTAAAAATGTGGAGTACTTTCCTTTGTCCAGTGAAACTTAGGTTCAAGACGCTGAATGTTTTATATCATCACTAATAGTGTTAAAAAGAAAAATCATTTGCAAACATATCATAAGAAGTGATTTGAACTGAATTTAAGAGGTTCTGGTCAGATTTTGGGTTAAAGGGAGTTTGGTGTTTATTCCTACTCATTTTCAAGTATTATTTACAGAAACCCAAGTGTCTGAGGTATATTTTCATTACAGTTCTATTTTGGGTACACCCTTTGTTGAGTTGAGACAATTGGCCTTAAGTTTCATGCCAAGAAAAATTCCTACTGAATGTGGAGGGTAAAACACACACACACACACAAAGGCAAAGGCTTTGGGGGTTGAATATCTCTAATTTGCTTATAGAACTGAGTGCTTTAAACTGCAAATTGCCACAATAATGTATAAATTATAGTCCTTGTGGGTCTCATCTGCCTGAAGCAGTTTGATTTAAAGAAAGCAAAATAAAACAGAAAATGTCTACTTGTAGGCACCATGGGTATGGATTCTATTTTGTGAGAAAATGGGAAATTTCTGAGGACCTCTTCAAACTTCTCCTGTTTATAAAGAGAATTTTAAATCTTGTAATTTAGAATTTACCGGGTGGCGGTATCATAAAATCACATTGCAACAAATTGTTCTTGTGTATGTCCTCCAAATGTTTACGAAAACTACTTTTACAGACAAATAGAACAGCTGGGTCCCTCTGTTGTTTCTTGAAGAACACAGGGCTGTACACAAAAAGACAGCAAATGTTTGACATCAAGCCCACCAACTGTCTATTAGGAATCTTGGTATGAACAGTCTTTTCTTGAGCAGAAAGATTTTGTATTCACTTTCAGCCAAATATTTTTTTTTCCTTGCCAGATTCTAAAAGTCCAAAATGAATATGTCAACAATACAGATTTAAGTATTACAATGAAAACTAAACAGAACAATGAACAACCTTCAGATTCAGATGTTAATATGTAACTCCTAGAACACTGACAATTTAAAAAAGAGCCAGACAGGGGCAGGGAGAGGCAAACTGTTTCTTAAAGGGCCACATACTAAAGTATTTTGGGTGTCGTTGCAGGCCATATGGTGTCTTTCACAACTACTTAGTTTTGTCCTTGTAATGCAAACACAGCCAGAAATAATACATAAATGAATGAGGATGGCTGTTTTCCAACAAAACTTTAATGACAAAAACTGGTTGCAGTTGGATCTGGCCTGTGGGCTGTAGCTGGCCAAGCCCTGAGAGCTGGATTAATTGGTGCTCATAAGGTAAAATCAGCTCCCTGTGTTCTTTTGAACAGGAACAGGCTGCTGGATTTTTAGAGCACTACTTCCTCACCTGTTTGGAGAGGGCAAAGGATTGTACATGTTGCCGTAGCAGCTGGTGTAAGGAGAACGTGCCGGAGTCTCATAGTCGGCTAGTCCTACGGTTATCTGGGTTCTCCAGTTCCCAGAAGCATTTGTGGAAGACACTATAAATGAAAATAAAAAGAGAGATACACTTATTAGAAAAATTCAAAGTGGAAAACATTTTAGGTTATTTTGATATCTCCTATAATCAGCTATGTGCAGAACTAGATATTAAAAACCAAGTATTAGAATTAACAAGGCTCCTATTCCAATTTGCTCACTTAATGGCTGGGTGAACTTGGGCAAATAGCTTACCCTCTTTAAGCCGCAGTTTCTTCATCTGTAAAGTGGGGACAATAACATAAATACATCTTGCCCAAGGCTGATAGAAACAGCTCTGGTGGTTCCATGGTTCTGTGCTTAGCCTCTAACTCAAAGGTTGGCAGCTTGGACCCACTAGGGGACTCTCAGGAGAAAAACACACTGTTCCCATAAAGATTGTTGTTCCAACCCATAGCCATCCTGTTTAGGGTTCTGGAGGAGCGGCTGGTGAGCTTGAACTGCTGACCTTGCAGTTCAAACCAACTTTGCAGTCTAGTGCATTAACCTACGGGGCCGCACCAAGACTCCCCCATAAAGATGACCGCCTTGGAAACCCTGTGGGGTAGTTCTAGTTGGTCCATTAGGGTCACTGTGAGGTGGAAATGACTGGACAGCAGGCAAGAACAGGACTGAGATCAAGAGTCTATGAGGAAATGGATGAAAATCTTTAGCACTATGTCTGTACAAAGCCAGCACTCAGTGCCCAATAAATGTTTACTTAAATAACTTGAGAGAAAGACAATGTGATCTATATTTCAATAAAGCTGCTACTTAAAATTCTTGGGTATCTTTGGAGAAGAGTCGTTCCATAATATGATTTACGGATACTTGAGTGTCTCTCAGCCAAAATCAGCAGTGGTCACTAGCAAGATAAAGACGTACAAATTTTGCCCTAAAAACTGGGGAGTGTGTGTAGATAGTATGAGAAGGACTTGTGGAAAAAGAGAAAAACGGGACTACGGAGGGATTGAATTCAAACAAGAAAGGGTCTAATTTGGGGGCAAAGCCCAGTGAATGTGTTGTCACAGTATTTCTGCTGTCCTCTCTATAAAACTGGTTCTGCTCCATGCCTAGGATGCATAAGGTGACCACAATGCCAGGATCCTGAGAAACTCAAAAAACCAGCCCAGCTCAAGGATCCATTTCCTGCTCCCAGTTAATGACCTACTCCCTTCTCTTTCCCACCAACAAAGCATTAACGACCACAGTGGGACAAACCACCTTTTAAAACACTTCCGTGGCCTTGGATGCAAAGAAGTTTTGATTAAAAGATGTGACACTCTTTGAGCTTTAAACAACTTTTCATAATTCTAACTCACAGCCTGTGGAGATTGGCTAATGAAGATGCCAGAAAGAGCTGGGATAGAATTGTCTAGTTGTCCTGGTGTGGTGCTGTAGGATATGCATTAGACTACTTACCTCAAGGTTGGCAGTTCAAACCCACCAGTTACTCTTTGGAATCCCTATACAGGGTGGCTGTGAGTCAGAACTGACACGATGGCACTTAACAAAAATCACTTACTAGCTGCAACACTTGGGCAGGGCCATTTAAGTGCCCTAAGCCCAAGTAGTTTGGGCTGCAAACATTTGTTGTTTGAACTACACAAGGTAACCGCAAGCACAAGATTTGTGGGCGTATATCATCAGGTCTTTCTTTCATCTTAGTTAACTAGTCCTGCTAAAACTTGTTCAGTATCCCAGCAACACACAAGCCTCCACAGACACAGGACTGGTGGCTGTACATGAGGCGCATTGGCCAGAAATGGAACCTGGTTGTCCCACACGGGAGTTGGGAATTCTACTACTGAACACCACTGTCCCCCTGGCTGTAAAATCAGGATAATAATACGCATAACATTAGCATCCACTTTCTAGAACTGCTGCAAAGAGTCAGTGGGATCATGCACACGAAGTGCTGAGTATGTTTCATGACGCAGACGTTGCTGCCAATAAATGGCTGCTGTTCATTACGACGAAAACTGAGTCACCAAGAAGACTGAGGATTACAAAACCCCTGACTAATGTGGCAAATAATTGAAAACTTATCTCCCTACCAGAATGACGCATGGCTGTTGTAATATATTTCTGTAGCTAGAAAATATAGACAGAAAAGAGGAAAATGCCATAAGAAAATTCTGGTAGTATTGATTCCAGCCCTTGTAGTTAAGTGCCGTTGAATCAGTTCCGACCCATAGAGACGATTCCAGCCCTATTATCTCTTTAATTCCTTTCAGTTTCGGGGACCAAATCCTGCTGGTGTTATGTTAGCAAGGCTCACACAAGGTATGAACCAGGAAGTGTAAGGTAATTCTTACCTTTGCCCCAGATACTAAGCCAATTGCCAGGAATGTTGAGGTTCCTGAGTTACACCTGCTTCTCCCTGGGCTTCACTGTTGAAAGAGGCATTACCCTAGCCCTGTGCCCTGATGACTGTCCACATCAATCCCAGCCCTCTTTGTGTGGGTCTTTTCTCACAGCATGCTGGCCAGGGTTGGCTTCTGAAAGTTTCTCATGCAACGCCCTTAAGTTTAGAGCAAGGAAAGGCGTTCTCGAGACTCGAGCCATAAATAATAAGAAATAGCTCCTGGAGCATTTTCTAGGTTAGATGTGGTAACAGACACGGGGTGGGGGGAGGAAGTTTAAAGTCCTGCACAAATAGAAGACGACTTGAACCCAAATAGAAATCTCCATGGAAATGCCTCTTGTCAACAAGCTTATGAAACTTTTAAAGGGCCAGCTTTCACTTACAATTATATAAGGATTCTAAAATCCCTGTACTAGTCTTATTACTAAAGTGTCGTACTTAAGATAGTAGCCAAGACTCAATCTCATTGTGTTTTAATCCATTCATTCCTAACACCAGTTGCTGTCAACTCTGATTTATGGTGAGTCTTCATCGTGTCAGAGTAGAAGAACCATGCTCTGTACGGTTTTTAATGGCTAATTTTTCTAAAGTAAATTTGCCAGGCCTTTCTTTGGAGGTACTTCTGGGTGGTCTTCAAGCTTCAACGTTTTGGTTAATAGAGAATTGTTAACTGTTTGTACCACCTAGGGACTTCAATCATTTCTTAGATTTTTTTTCTTTCCATTTTTTAGATTTTTCAAAACTTTAATTTTCATATATTCCCTCTGTCTTCCCACTAGACTGGATGCTCACTGAGGATGGAACAGTTTCAGCACTGGCTCCTCAGCATCATGGATGTGCCTGCTCGCTTGCTGAACACATTAAACAGGCAGATACATTACTCCACTTAAAGTACTTAGCACAGTTGGGATGCACAAGACGGCTTCTGCAAATGATGGCGGAGTTAGAGGTGAAAGTCAGTGCATAAAGGCAACAGCTAGTCTATCAACTTGCTAAAGTATATCAGGGGGCTTCCAAAAGTTCATGGAAAAACAGAATGAAAAGATAATGGAATTTTTCCATGAACTTTTTGAAGATCCTTGTACATAAATGAGCACCACGGTGGTGCTAATAAGGTTAGAGGTTCAAATCCACCAGATGCTCTAAGGGAAAAAGATGAGGCTTTTCTGCTCCCGTAAAGATTTATAGTCTCAGAATTTTTTTTTTTTTTTTTTTTTTCTGGTCAGGAACCATGCTTAATCAACACCAGCTCCTCTTAGCATTATTAAAAGACTTATGCAGATACCCAGATTCTTGGTTTGGCACTGTAGGTTAAGCACTGGACTGCTAACTGCGAGGTTGGCAGTTCAAACCCACCAGCCAGTCCTTAGAAAGGCACCCAATAAGGTGGCAAATGAAGTAGGTGCTCAATAAATGTTGTGGATTTGAATCTAAAACTTGCTTCACTGGACTCATGTAAACTCTGTTCTTTGGAAAGCGGAAAAGGATACAACAATGATTCTTATTGTAATTACAGTGAATCGTTAGGTACTAGTCTTGTGATCCTTGAATGGACTGGTTCTGGGTGGACCAAAAGGAGTAAATGAAATCTGCGTGTTACATGTCTCCAGAGTTCCTGGTATGAATGGTTAATGTGCTGCTAACCAAAAGGCTGGAAGTTTGAATCTTCCCAGAGTCACTTGGGGAAAACGGCCTAAAGACCTACTTTAAAAACATTGAAATCCGGATGGAACACAATCCTATTCTAACACACGAGTCATAACTGATGTGATGTCAACTGGTTTGGATTTCTCGTATGGTATGCCTCCACCTTGTGCTTACCTGAAGAGTAGGATGATGCCCGACTGCTTGGTGAACAAGGTACTTGCAGCCCAGCAAACCCCAGGCATCTCTGTGATCCCCTGTCCGAGTCAAAGCTAGTCTGTGGGCTGTGGCCCTGATCCTTTTGCCCAGAGGCACGCTGGTACCAGCCACGCAGGTGCTCTGCAACTAAGGCCTTGCGGATATTTTGGGTGATGTGCTCGGATTTTCCCGCCGCCTTCCGTGGCAGCCGGAGAGTAGCATATGGGTTATGGGGTACCCGGTCCATCTCGTCTTCATGAAATGACCTGCTGTAGTCCCTTGGGCGGTCATATCCATAGTGGGCAGAGGACCGGTAGGAAGGATTAACGCTGTATTGTCCCTCAGTGTCATTTTCATAGACATAGCTACCACTGTAGTAAAGATCACACTCTGTGTACGGCGTGTAGCCCGCAATGTAATAACTGGACGAAGGCTGCTCCTGACTCTGGGAGTAGACGCCGTTCCTCAGGCTATCCTTCTGTGCTAGGTTAGGCATGCTACCTGAATTTGAAGTCGAAACATTCTGCTTCTTGGACCTTCTCCGACCCCTGGCCCGCGTGTCCAGAGTCTGGGTGGTATAATACGGACCAGCAATTGGCGTGACGCAGTAATATTCCGTGCTTGATTGGCTGGTGTAGGAAGACCCATCATCAAGGACCTCGGTGCTACTACTTCTTTGGGACTTGGAGAGGGAGAAGAATGGCTTATCGTTGTCCATCTCAGCGAGCAGGTGGGACTGAGACTCGAGGCTTCCGCTCCGTTGGCGGCAGTGCTGAGACGAAGATTCAGGTCTGAAAAGAGGCAGACGGCAAACTTATAAAACCAGCAAGAAGGTCAAATCGGAGAGAAAAACACCACACTAAATGATTTAATTGCTCTTGAATTGCAACACAGCTTTGGAAATGTCCAAAGCAAACTGCTGTATCACAGAATCAATGTGCATGTTTGAGTTCCATGTTGTAGTTGTTAGCTGCTGGAGTGCAGAACAGGGTCTTTTGGAAGCAGATCGCCAGGGCTGTGTTCTGGGGTGCACCTCTGGGTGGATATTGCCAACCTTCTGGTTACTAGTTGACTGCTTAACAGGGTGCACCACCGAGCGACTCTTAAGGCAAAATGAAAGAAGAACAAGGTTCTGATAACTAAGCAGTTAAAATCTTTTCTTGAGGATAGAAAAGGTAGACTGATGGTGTACAACCTACATCAAAATGGAAACGAACCCACAGTGATCTTGGAGGGTTTTCTCTTCTAACTAGATATTGATATACAGTAGTAGGGAATAGAGACAGCATCGTATAGGGGAGCATGCTTGGACTCTGAAGTCAGTAATATTGATGTTGAATCATAAGTCATTTCCTAGTCATCTGAGCTTGAGGCAGATAGTGAACCTCTGGGAGTCCCACTTCCACCTTTGTCATGTGAAGACGGTCATAGTAACTAATATTTATGTTACAAAAGGTTTGCTGTGGAGCTAAGTAATAAAATACCTATAAAACATTTAGCACAGGACTTGGTACTCACTGGCCACTTCAAAATGTTACTATTCTCAGCACTGAATAACAAATTTCACTTTTTCCTAAGATGAGAATGGTAGTCTCTGACTGTTGTTGTTGTTGTTGTCAGGTGCCATCGAGTTGGAACCGACTCATAGCGACCCCATGCACAGCAGAACGAAACAATGTCCGATCCTGGGCCAGTCTCACTACCGCTGCCACACTTGACGCCATCAATGATGCCACCTGGCTGATCCATCTCGTTGGGGGTCTCCCTCTTTTTCTCTGACCCTCCAATTGATTAGGGACATTCAAAAACAAGAAACCCAAAACATACCCGAAGAAAGTGACTCCATTTTCTTTGCCAATATATTTGAAACTAAAATAGCAGAAAAAGTAGACTCATCAAGTAGAGCCCCGATACAAAAACGCTTAATTGACCTGATTTTAAAATTCAACAAGAAAAGCCAAACCACAAAGCAAAAATCAACAGAGCCCAAGCTAGTGGATGAAGCGTTCTTACTCCAAGTGACTACTGCTATAGGCATTCCGGGTGAGCACTGGCGTGGTGGGCATGCTGCGTCCTCCCTGTGGCCGCCTCTCCAGGGTCTTGTAAGGACTGCTGTGTGTCGACAGCAATTCTCTGTGAAGATAAAAACGAAGAATTCAGGAAATGACACGCTTCCCAACATCTCTGGCAAATTTGTCATATGCTGATATGAAACTTACTGGAAAGTGCAGGAAAGGAACGGAGGGGAGAAGGGGGAGGGTGTCTTTGTGGTCTAGTATCTGTAAAAGTCCTAGATGCCATTTAGGAGAAGCGTACAGGCTTCTCAGACATACTGCAGGGCTGGTTCCAGATCACCGCAATAAAGGAAATAAAATTTTTTTTTTTTTTTTTTTTTGGTTTCCCATTTAAAAGAAAGGTTATGTTTCCATGATACTGCAGACTATTAAGTGTGAAACAGCACTATGAAAAAGTGTGAAAGGTGAGAATTATCAAAGTGTAACAGAGAGATATGGGAGTCCATGCTGTTAGGAAAAAGGCTCCGTGTGGGGCAGACAGAAATCTTCAGTTTGTAAAATACATTCTATCTGCAAAATGTCAAAGAATGAGGCATGTCTGTATGCGGTTTGACTCGCGCTGAGTCATAGTATAAAGAGTGGGGGAAAGGACTTTGCGAGAATGCTGTTCTGACTAAATATAGTAGATTATCAGTAAGTAGAGCAGGGCTTGGAACAGTTTTTCTGTCACCGGTAACTAGTTAGTCTGTTTGGCTGTGTGGTCGAGAGGGTAAGGATTGCTGCTACTTGCCTCATGCGTAAAACGGCAACTATGGATAGTAAGTCAGCCAAGAGGTCTGGTTGTGCGCCAAGGAAACTTGATTTA